GGAGCCGTCGAAAATTGGCGTATGACAGGAAGGCAAATTCTTGATAGCAGTCACCATGGACAATCGAAGCAAAAGGTACCCACAACCTAATTTTACAACAAAACGCCGGCATGCTGTCCAAACATTGTTTGACGGGTGATGTAGCGGGTATTGGATCAAATTATTCCGGTGAGGTTGCGTTTGGAACCGTCAAGAGTGGTCTGGGTAGCACAGTAACTAGTGATACTTCTGAATTGTGGTACCAGGCTGAAATTCCTCGTATGGAAACGCCAAACGTGACGACCACTGATTCGATCGTACGGCTGATCTCCTTTTCCCTACGTGGTTCTGCTAAACTCCAGTTAGATAGTACGGCGGAGGTTCATGGCCCATTACACGTTTTGAAGTTAGCAGCTTCACTGCCTCTGATTTTTCTGCGTGAAGCGGTGCATCGCAGTAGCCTTTATGTGATTCTTTTCTCGATCAATCGAGTATCGCAAGTGCTGTAACTTTCCGCCTCTCGACAACGTCTGGATCCTTGAACAGTTTGGCAGACTAATTCTCCTTTGCCCAACTTCAGGCTTCCAAAAACATCGAATACATGGAGGCATAGAAGGGACGAATTTGGCTTTGATGCAATCATGCCAGCTTGGAACGTTTGCTCCATAATCAGAGGCCCACCAGTAGCCACTGAGGCATTTCAGTCTGATTCTAAGAATCACTCGGTGTAATCTGATAATCTGATTGGCTAGGGTGGTATACACATCGTAGCCGGACGACAATGATACCGTTTGGCCGATATCTGAACCAACATCTCCATCTGAATGCTTGCGCCTATGGTTTGAGCAGCCGGTTTTTAACACTGAAATTTAACTGACCGGGAAAATTTTTAAATCATAAAGGATAGCGCGGTTTGCCTATACTGGACTGTCTAAGATTCAGTCGTGGAGGGACTCTTGTTGAAGGCCGACTGTTAGCGGAAGTCCTCGTCAGTTTATCTGATCTGTTCTATGCTGGAAGACGTCCACGTCAGTGGTGCTGACACCAACGCTTGCAGAAAATGGATAGATCAAGCGTGGCAGTTTAATCAGCTGCCCTTGCAAATGGGCGCAAATTCGATGTGTTAATCAGCCGGCCTTATACCATTAACACTTGACACACTGCTCAGACGCTCACTCAATGGAACTGGTGTGAAGACACCAACTTATTCAACCCGTTTCTTGTCAAAACTTGTCCGTTTGTTGAAACTAAAAAGGGAAGTCAGCACCAGTGAAGGTTTGGAACTCCTAGCCCACTTAGGCTCATGTCTGGTCTACACAGTCCGTAAAGCGAAGTAGAGATTCAGTGCGTTCGCTAATACTAGTGGTAATTTCGTTAGGTTATGACGGACATGCTTCGAAACACAAGAAGACAAGCGATATTGACAAGTTCGGTGGAATCACAAAAACAGACAAGCTATTCCAACAGCGCGGTTATTTGAAATACATGAATAACCTCCGAAGGACGTGAACACGAAGTTGAAAGTGCCAGCGACCTAGGTGTTTTGAAGTACATAGGACTGCAAAAATTCAAAGGAAAGACTCGCAAATAGCGCGTTGGTATTAAATATACTGCAATAACAAATTATTCCATACGTCCAAGATGTAAACCGTGTACTACTGGTGACTATTCGGCTTAGGTTTACACTGCGACAGGTGAAAGAGAGCAGCACTTCCGATCGTTTAAGGTTTATGTTACTATAGTTATGAAAAACCGACGTCATGGTAGGTTGTATTGTTAGTTGTGAATGTCATGGTTGTATGAGCCAGGGCTCCCACACCTAGACTGGAGGACGATTAAGGTCCTTAACCAAAGTCATTGGCTCAAAAGCTTAACCGCAAGGCAGCGATGTTGGGCTGGAAATGCAAATACATTACCATTTTCACGGAACACGTCGCCACACATGTTCTAACCCTCAACCTAGAGGGTAAAGAGACCGTGTTCATCAGACCACTGTCCATGAACCTCTACCAATGAAAGACTCTGAGTGTCGCGCGGACACCCCCAGTATAGTTCAATGGGTCACCGGGGTACACACACCGCCACACCACTCTAAGATCCAGTCTCTTCGTGACGGATGAAAAACCGATGGAGTTTGGAAGAATACGCAGTGACCACTTTGGGCATAAAACTACCCGATCTATGCTTCTATGAATGAATGCTTAACTGGTTGCTTCTGGTGTCAACAGCTCTAACGACCACACCCATTGTGTTAGAAGGTATTCAGTCTACTTAACCTCAAAGCTGGAGCTACTTCTAAACTGTCCACCATCGTTCAGGATAACACCATGTTCAAGAAGCCAGGGATGAAACCGATCACACAATTAGGACTCCAGCAATACATGGCTTCTTTTCAGCCATTGTCCTGCACGATTTTTTTCACTATATCATTCTTCTGTAGTCTCCTATTTTGAGAAAATTATCGCCCTGAGTCTTCTGAAGACTTAGACGGATGTGTTTTTATAAAGAGTAGTTTGTTACGTGATCGGTTGCTTGACATCCACGATTTTCAGTCAAATGCGGTTGTATCCTTCTCATTGATTGATGCCATCAGTACCTCACACCACGAAAACACCTATTTAGATTTCCAAATCATATCACTTTTGTGACTTCATAAAAGGGTATACATGAGTAATGAGTACCGCGTTCTCGCTAGGTTCATGGCTAGGCACCATGGTATTTTCCGAACGAAAACTAATGTGTCACCAAATATGGGATTCCAGATCAGTGAGCCTAGCAGCACATTGCTTCCTACAAGTTGGGACAAGCACGGAAACCAAATAAATTTTCTCATGAAAGCGAGTTTTCCTTATAGATAGTGAACCGAAATCTGGGCCGAACCACCTCAGAGTTTTAGTGAATGCAATGGAATGAACACGCTGGAACTAAGTGTATATGAACTCTCATATGAATTGTTTTGTTACAACGTATTGCTTTTAACGTATGTAGATATGAGCACCGACAAACATCAAAATCCTTACATCAGATCCCGCCTAAGAACGGTTTTCCACAAAAACAGTGGGTGACCTTATGACGAAACCTAAGGATATAGTGGTTGGTGTGATAGCGGCATGGAAGTTACAGCGTGATTTCGAGTATTGGTTCCATCCAGAAGATAGTGACATTTCAGATCACAGTTACTTGTATGAAGGTTGCTTCTGCTTCTTGCGCATTTAGCTGCGTCACTGCTGTGATAAGTGCTTGGTTAGAGAATCAGGAGAGGTTCTTAAACACAAGACTTCTTAAAACCCTTCTGTTAGTTGATGCGTAATTTGCGTAGCTACCACTTAACTTAGGGATTCAGTGTGATCCACACTCCAGCAGCTACACTTTCCACCAGTTGTCCGAAGTATAACTTCATTGTCATTTACTTTTTTGCTGACAATTCCAGCACAATAATCAATAAACTTTTGTGGAATTTATCCGATAGACATTTGTTTACGGACAAAAATACAGCGTCTTGTGATACACTCTCGTCGCATTTCCTGTCGCGATGGGATGGGTTCTATCGTTGTGAGCGCACTGGCGTGCATCAAACAGGATGCACATTTGATAAGCATCATTGGGCGCAGGCATGGCAATGGGTCAATCAATAAGCAATGTGGTGGAATTTATGCCCAACTTGGAAGCTGTCTCGAAATTGTTTGACATTGTCATGTCGCTGAATACAATGGAAACATAATGCCCCATCCGTTCGGAAGTTTGTTGTAAAAAGTATATCAGTTTCGTGAGTTTTTGTGATTACGTGTATTATTCTGTACTTGGGCTTAGAGTGCAACACATGCTTTACCAAACCGAAGTCAGTATAAACAAATCAAGGGCTAAAATATTACAATGGGCACTGTTGTATTTTGAAGACCATTCAAACCCCATTCATCTACTTTAGCAGTTAAGCTAACCAAAATAGTTCTGCAAGCTGTCTCCTTGATAGTACTTAAACCTAGTGAGAAAACGCTTTGACACCTGATGAGATTCACTGACTAAACTCCGCGAACGTACATTGATTTGTCACAGGGGAGGAGCATAGCATCCCAAATATATTTCTGAATAGGCAGCCTGTGTGAATCAGCCTATCTGGCGAGCGGTCTCTAGTTGTATACCTTCCTCTGATCTACGCTTAGGATCGTGCTACAACTCAATCACTCTCCTGGACTGCTTTTTGTTCATTTGAGTTAGCGCACCCCTCGCTGATGATGGTGAGTTAACACAAATGGTGGTCCAACAAACGCTGAGGCTTTAGTCTATTCGAGAAACTCGATGAAGGGGTGTGAACAAATCGACATATCCATTGCGTTTCTGCGTACCTGGTACATGTGAAACGGTACGACAGGTAATTTCCCGGCACGGTCACATCATCACTGTGAACGCATTCAATTCTGCGGGGGGACCTGCGTGTCACCCTTGGACTTATGGTTCCCACCCATTTCCTGATGATGTGCACTGATTGGACTTGCACGGATACCACGATACCCTATTCTTCGGAGCAGAACAAATGAGAACGAGATGATTTCAAATACTTTTTTTCAAACGTTCCAAAACATATATCAATTATTCTGCCTGTGAACAGGAACTAAGACCTAATGTGGAAAGACCAATCAAATAGTAATACCAGTGGGTCATCCAGTGATTTGTGTGGGAATAACGATGACAATGCTACTGTTCTGTTTGTTCGAAAAGAAATATGGTATCATATTGACTTTCTGTTCGTGTTTGCTTATGAGGGTTATGGAAACAAGCAGGTGTATTCACATCACTATGAAGCGTACATTTTTGGAAATGTTAAGAGTATAACTCGTAATTAATTCTGATTTTATGAATGAACAGATCTGGTGGTTCGGGTGCTGAATAAAAACTCTGACACTCTTCACACAAAGTGTTTGTCCTTCCTTTTGGAGGATAGTATACTGACAGTGTGATATGAAAGTAGGCTTTAGCAACATGGAAGTGGCCGTTTTGATAAGATAATACCTTGCTAATTTTTTTCAGAAGCTTGACATATCTAAGCTGTCAGATTCGTCGAATTTCACATTGTTTCCTGGTGAACCCAAAGGAACTGGAAGCCAGTCACTCACGCAGGAGGATAACTGAAGGGATGAATCACTCTGTGAATCAACCATCATTCCTGGCAGATCTTGATTTGACATTGTAAGTGGCATCAGATCCGGTTCCCCACTGGTGCAGTTGTTAGATCTACTAATTGCCGGGTAGTGTTCGAAAGAACATTCCGGTAAGGGATCCGAGTTTAGCGAAGCACATTCGGATGTGTTTTGTTCTGGAACATTAATAGAAATTGTGTAGGCATCTGCGGGATTAGCAAGAACCGCTGAATTCACCTCCGTTGAACTTTGAGTGTAGCTCACCGGAACAACTGTGTAGACGGTCTGATCCGACAGATAACCCCGGTCGGCATCCGTTTTGAAAGTTTCCACGTTTTTTCCACTGTAATTCTCGACGGAGATTGGTCTGATTTTGACTTTCAGTTGCGGACTGAATTGTCCGGGGAACTTTGGCTTGAATTTTCCTCTATGTTGTTTTCTTCGAGGACGATATTTATAATCCGGGTAACATTGCATGTGACAGTCACGCAATCGATTGGCTTCCTCAACATAGGGTATTTTTTCTGCCTCAGTGAGTGATTTCCACATTGAACCCAGTTGTTTACTTATTTCGGAATTGTGTAGTTTTGGATTCTCCATGGCTAGCCGTTTGCGTTGCGCTCTAGACCACACCATGAACGCATTCATTGGTCGTTTAATGCGTTCTGATCTCACAGTGGAGTTGGGCAAGAAGGTGGGTTGAGTAGATAAGGAGTATGTTTGAGGCGCAACAGGTATGATAGAGGTAGTTTGTGGTGCAGTAACGTTCGAACAACCCGTGGTGGAGGTCGATGACAGAACATCATGCACAGGAGGGAGCACAATGCGTGAGTATTCATCAGAAAGCTGTGGTAATAAAAAAGTGAATATTGTGTTAGCGTTGGTCAACTGCGCACTGATGAGGCAATTAGCCGAACAAAGCAAAGGAAAGCGCCCTACCCGATTTCCACTTCTGAGGTAATAGTTTTCTTTTCAGAATGAAAAGCGATATATTACTTAGAATAAAATAACGGACACCGTAGAAATGAAGCAAATCAACACTCCAATGTTCGGTGAGTGGGTGACCTTGCAACCAGTAACTGAAAGTGATGGTTAGCGCAATATCTACGTAGCTGAATGACTTCCGGAATTAGCAAAGCGTCTGGATACCCACAATAAATAATTGTTGGTTGGCAAAATGCATCTGATAAATCCACTCACAGACGTTGTTTTGTACTCATACAATATGCATTTCGTTTGGTCGTTTCAGTAATTAAAAGATCCCTTAAATTTTGCACGTGAAGTTTTATTTGGTGGTCGTGGATGATTAACGATTCAAATTGATCCCAGTGTCAAAATTTCAAAATCGTCGCAGAGGTAATACTAATGAACACTACTTGTTCTTCAAATCGTACGAGCCTCTGTTAACTATTCGCTTATACCATGTGCAGATGCACCAGTTGTTTCTTCCTGTCCCGTTGACCTCGGCTTTTCCTGGGACTCTTTTTTTCTTTTTTTTCTTTTTTTCAATCACAAACCTTTGAAGTGGCCAGATCCATAAGTTGATGTAATGCACACCAGTATGAAGAAAAATCAAAGCTTATTTTTAGTAGTAATGCAACGCTTTCGAACCAACCTACCCTTATCGTGTCAGGTTTTGAATGAGCAGTACCTGGTCAGTTTTGCCTTATGCAGCACAAGAAGCAATTTTGCGGTCACAGGTGAAGCTTACACGGTGTTTTTCTGGTTGTGCCCTAAGGGCGATTCGTGAAGGCAAGTGCTTTCTGCTCCATTTTCGAGAGATTCAGTAGTACGAGGAGAGAGTTGAACCGGAAAACTCTGTCCTTGAAGTGGATTGTAGAATATTGACACATTCTTAAGTAGCTGGCTAAAGCAGTATGCCGTTAATTTCTATCTCGGTTTAACATCGTTCAATTCGCTCCCTGTCTTTCTGGTTCATTCATGTAAAATTTATCATCGTTTTTGTAAAAACAGGACCACTTAACGAGGTTGACAGCCAGCAGCTGATGTTTTTCTGGGGTTTAAAGAAAAGTCTCTCCATGAAACAAGTTTCAAACGGGCCAGAAATGTTCCATGCTCATCAGACCTAAAGTAATACAACCAGAGGAGATAAATTCATCATCATTTTCACCGCGGGCTAAGATCGTGACAGACCTGCAACCATGTCTTTTGGTTGCCAAGGTTCTACAAAAACATGGTTGTTGCATCAGTCCCAAGGAAAGTGGCTAACTTACAACCAACCTTGAACATTACGGGACGCCGAAAGGGAAATTTTGGATCTTTCAGCTATAGAACCATTCAGTGCCTAACAGCTATACCATTCAAAGGAAGCACGAGAACTGTGATAAGGCTGCCGAGCCGAAGCCTAGACAGGGAAAGTTGAGGGGCAGAGGTCAGGCTCAAACCACGGAACTTCCGACCAGTAAATTCGCGCCCTAATCACCGAACCATCTCACCCCAAAAGCTCTCACTAAAACAGGATGTACTCGGTGGTTTCGGTCAGATTGGCAGATTAGGTTTGAATATAGGAATTCCAGTACATTTAAGCATAGAAAATGTGGCGATAAATTCGAAAAATTTGGAGGATTATTTATGATTTATGTGGAGAGTATTATCAGTCTTTATATAAAAATATCTAAGAGGTTGAACTGCGTATCTCGCAAAATAGATTAACCTCGGCCAATCATTATCCTGAAAATGGACGCATGCGCATGAGTTTTACATGTTGTACAAAGGGATATTCGGTGGCTTGCTGCGAATCAACTAGGCATTTATCTTGTAAGGCCGCGTCAAAATCTGCACAGTAGACCCCACAAATATCAACTCATCTTAAATCTTTCAAAGAGAGCTTCCTCTCAGAAAAGCTGGAGTTACCATTTGTTGTTTCCTAAAAATATCTCGACCACATTTAGCAGACTTCTAGTGGGATGATCACAGAATTTTGTGATGAAAGATGTTGACCAGAATTATTATTTATATGGAAGTAACCTGATGTCAAAAGGCTGTAAGAATGCAATCTTACCTTGTAGTTGCTTTTAATAGTTGCTCCGATTTTTATCCACGAAGTCTCATTTGTTGAAACAGTGTACAAAACAATATGACCCAGAGCATACGTTTTGTCGACGGGGAACTTACGGCTGCACGTTGTTTAAGTAAGTTAGACAAAACTCTTTGAATCTGAGAAAAGTCTGATGGTATATCACCAACCCCTTTTTGATTTTCGAATCTTTGAAGCAACTTTTGCTGTATACCTGATTCGGAGAATGGTTTAGCTACTATGCTCATCTCATAGGCAACGTAGAAGTCACGGTGGAAGCACAGAGATTTTCGTTTGACGGTGTAAGTCACTTTACAACAGTGTGAATCATATATTCAGCAATGGTTGATCGACATTTGGAAGCAATTAGTGATACCTAGCCTTTCCACCCGCATTTCGTTTAAGTAGGTGACAAATTTCTTTCCACAAATCCTTCGGGGCTGTATATTTAATACCAGTTTTTATATCGTCTAATAAACTTCGAACAAAATGTCCCAAGCAGCTGCTTCAATCACAAACGACCTTTGCAAAAGAAACAACCTTTTATTATGATCCAACTTCAGTGAATCCCCAAGTGCTTCAAGGGATTCAACTTTTACGAAATGCTGGAGAACGACTTCTAAATACTAATATAATAATTACTTTTTTGTTTGATGAGCAGCACTTTCACGTTTGCAACCGGTTGGCATAGAAAACAGGTATGCCAGTCAGTATCCGTTTAACCACTTGATGTCTATCACTTATTAAAAACAACAGTAGGTTCCCATGGAGCTGAAGTAGTTGTTGAATGCAGTCTTTTTACCCGCAAAGATCAAGCCCATACAGTAGAGGAAAAAATGATCGTTCAGTGTAAATCATTGATTTTCTAACTCAAGTAACCAATTTTTGCGGTGCTTCGGATTGACACAGAACTATCCCCGTGTACTGTATCGTAGGGTCGTCCATATCAAGATGACCTTGATTTCCATGAAGGTAATCATTTAATCTAATTTAGTGGTCACTCGCTGGCAGCCGAAATGGAAAATTTCGTTGTCAGTGTTGCTGCCAGCTGGTGCTTGGCGAGCGTCGCATGCCTGTTCATTAACTGATCAGTTTCTTGGAATACAGATAAATCTTCTTACCCCAGAAGGCACCCATTTATGAACACCATAAGAACATCCGTAGGAGGTTGAATTTTCTTGTGGGGTAGAAGCAGGATTTCAATGCTCACCTGCTTACATTGCGAATAGCACAACAGTCTAAATGCTCCAGCTGTTGTCGGAAACATTCGTGAAAAGAATATTTTAAAAAAGGGATTGTCACGGTAGTTGGGTTTACATTGCGAATACAGAGGCATGTGTGGTGCTTATAAAACATGGGTTTACCAGGGCGTAACAGATTTCACATTGGAACGTGTAAAACTTTTTGACCGAATTCCGGATGTAGGTCAGTTTGCACCATACTGCGGAGACAACCACTTTAACAAGGCTGATACATGTATCGGTTCCAGAAAGCAGAAGTCCATCTTCGTTTGAATTCAGAGCGAGAGTAAAAATCTGAAGCAGTGTCTAAACGTTAGCCACAATATCTAGTAACTGGCAAAGAAAGTTGGGTCACTGGCCACCGAGTTGATTTGACACCAGTCTTCACTACTCCGATGAGGAACCAGGACGCACGTGTTCTTCTACCCGCCAAAGAAAATGAAGTAAAACCGTCCCAGTTTTCACCGTTTGTGCAACAAAAAAACTCGATCTAATCTTAAGCTCACTTTAGGCTTGAGGTGCATTTTTTCAATGAATTACGCAGCTAATTTAAATTTTGTTGGCAATTTGTACAGACGATGCAATATGAAATGGATGCATCTTCGAGTTCATGTCTTTTGAAATTTTTAGATTTCATTCTAGCACATCTGGTTCCATTATGTGCTTTAATAAGACCACCTGATACGAAGAATATAATCTAGATTGCCCTAATACCTGCGACATAAGCTGTTTAAACTACGCCTGTCAACGAAAACGAAACATTGGCTACTGTTGCTCTGTCTTTACATTCTTGCGGGAAATTCAACCGCAGGACTTCACGAATCTTGAAATGAGAAGTCATTACCTAAACTCTCGGTAGCGATGTGGAGCTGCGGCACTGAGTCGCAACTAGATGTATGGTTTGTGGTGTGATTTTATCGCTAAGTCCTGCAGTTATCATCACCCCACATGGCGTCGAATTCCTAGAACGTTCGGGTGGGTCTCTGGAGTTGATCACTCTGTTTCTAACTTCGATATAAAGTTGATTTGTTGTCCAGAGTGAGATACAGTATCTCATGCACTCTCTTCATGGGTGATGTCTGGAAGAAGTCTTTTGCAAGCCTTTTGGCCGTACGATGCTTGGATGTGGCTCAATAGCTTTGGCTCTCCAGTAATTGTATGTACTGAGACCTGCCTTGCATGGGAGCGGAGTAAGCGCAGTTACATGTGTTTTGGTCGCTCTTGGTCAAGAGGGGAATGAACCAAAAGCGGGAAACATTTCGGACTCGACCAACTATCACCCAAACAAAAGTTGTTGCGAGACAAGAACAAGTGAGATCGCGATTCGCCATCACCTCGTGAGTACCGCTTGATGTGGTTGAATCGGTGGATAACCGTATTGATGCCAATGGTTCACAGGGATTGTCATCAATGGTCTGAAGATGTTGCTATAATCTTTCGGTCCGATTTGTCGTAAAAGTAGATATAACAGTTATATATATGTTCTCCTTTTACACTTTCGCACTCGTCGCTTGCATTCACTTTTTATGTTTGTGACCATGCTCTTCAAAAATGATAATAAGTGGTTG